AAAAAAAAAAGTAACAACTCTTGGGGGTCGGGGGCAAGAGGGGGAAAAATTACTACTGCAAAAGTAGGCAGAAGAACTAGGAAATGGCTACGTGGAATCCTGACTTCACAGAGCTGTGGAGGGACTGTGGGAAATAACTGAACACTGGTGCTCTGACCGACGCCTTGGGAACAGCACATTTACCTAGTTGTCAGAATAATTAACTTTCGGGAATATAGTTCTAATGGGCTTTAGAAATATTCCTAATCTAAATTACTTTATTCAACAGTATGCGTATTGAGATAAGTTTCTGTGATCTGAAAAATTTCCTCATCCTCTTATAGACTCATTCATTCCTCAATAGCGCAAAATAAACCACTTCTTGAGAAGCTACAGATATACATTAAAAACTAGGAACTTTAATGATTATGGTAAAGAAAAAGGACACCAATCTTCCAGTTGAGAAGTGAAAACAAGTTCATCAATATTGAAGCACAATCACAAGTTCAAGAGCTCACTGAAGCCAACGGCTGTTAAGATAAACATTTACAGAAGAAAACAGAAACTTCTTAATGGGGACAAAAACAAAACACAAAAGTGGAGAGGTGTAAATAAACAAAAGTACCGCCTGATGAGACTCAAGAGGAGGAATCCCCAGTGGTGTTTTTAGAGATAAACATCAGAGGCAAGAGAGTGACTAATGGTCAGTTATTAATCAGACAGCCAGATGACACCCAGAGTCCCAGGGAGGCTCACGTTACTGAACCGAGACATTATCTAAGCCCTTCGGGTTGTGAGGGGTAATGGCAGTGTTGTTCATCACTCTCCCTAGAATGAAGTGTAGGATGAAGTCCACATCCTGCTGGTTGTAGTCAGTGTCTCAAATCTCTTTTACCCTGGAAAACTAGCATCTGCTGTATGTGTTTCATTCAAATATTTTAGTTTAACATAGAAAAATAACATGGCAGAAGAAATTAAGCATATAACATTTCTATTTCATTTTTACATGATCAGCAGAATCAGGCTTTCACATGAGGGGATCCTAAAATATGTATTCGCTTCATAGTATTTTAAAATTAGGGATAATCTAACCTAGAGTAGGCATCAATTGACATGTCCACTTGGGCCCACCAGGAACTGGCAGGTGTGAGTTACCTCCCCCACACGTATTACTATAACTCCATTGAACATCTATAAAAGATTAATTCAGACTTCTATTACTTAAAAAAAAAAAAAAAAAGGACTGGAAATGCTCTCTCCATCCACAGATGAGAGTGCTTACAGAAAAGCCTAATGGGGTCTGTCCTTCTTAGGGTGGCACCCTGATTCGCTACTCTGCCGCCTAGTCTGTCTGGGGACAGGCAAGTCCTTCCCATCCCTACCACCTCCAATCCTCTACGGGCCGTGGGGATGTTTTAAATCAAGTAATTCCCAACCACTACCTTCATACAACTGGAATTTTGGGTTTTTTTTAATTACAAGGAGAAAATTAGGATCTTCAAAAATGTAATGTAGTAATACCTAGCAATGTTGACTAAAAAAGGCATTTGATTGGCAATTTGCTAGTGGAGATGTTGTCTAGAAAATATTAATACTAAAATGGGTTAGTGCAAAGAAATGCTCTAAGTGTATATGTTTTAGATAAAAATTTTATAAATCAGCAGTTAATAATAAGCAAGTGCATATAATAGAAACAGATACCATGCGACCAGTGCTGATCTTTACCACCAAAGAACAATGTTAGCGTTCAAACCATGATTTCTTGATTTATGGGCAAGATTAAAATAATGGACAAAAAATTAGCAACAGACATCCAGGTTAACTATTATGAGAAACAAGTTAAATAAGGTAAGGTGAAGACAATTATGAACAGGAAATATTTAACACTATGCTACTATATTTAAACCGGATACTCTACTCTGATTACGATCAAGCCAGAAGAAGTAATTTGACAATATCTGTTCACTATAAGGTTTTAAGTATTTTACAGGTGGCAGTCGTATTTTTCATTCAAAGAGCACTGAAAGGATGAGACAATGATGATACCATTTGCATATTTTCCCAATAGTTCTAATACCCTCATCAACCTTTGATAGTTTCAGAGACATGATGAATCAAAGCATGTGCCAGTTATCAAAAGGGAAGCCAGCCCGAACAATCGACCCCAGTATTGTAGTGAGAACACAGAATACATTCATAATCTAGCAGAAGGTTTTATTTCCTAATTCAAGCAGAAAAATACCATTCTTTTATGAAAATAACCAGCAGTATATGGGAAGGGGTCTTATGTTTGTTGTCTGAGGTTTTGTTTTGGCCAGTTGTCCTCTCCCAAGGGAGAGTCATAAACGTCTTATGCTTCCCCCGCCCCTCCAACATGCTGCTGCTGGGAAAACAGACACCATGCATGTGACTGATACAAAACCTCCTGTGTGTAAAGAAGTGAATGGTCAAGGCAGCTACCTGGTTGGGTCTCCACCCACTGCGGAGGCTCAGAATAAAATGTCCATCTGGTACAGCACTCAGATGTCCAGAGGGAGCAACTTAAAGGACATCACACAGTCTATAAACCAGCTGGAAGGAGCCATCCAGACTTTACCCTGCCGAACCTTCTCTAGGCGATAATTAGAAATGTCCTCGTAGATGATATACTGTGTGCAGAAACGCTGGTCAGAGTCGGGCCTGGCGTGGTAGGCCACGGTGTTGATGGTCTGAGTCACGTCACTGTCTGGCTTCGGCTTTCTACTGAGGATCTGGCCTCCGGCTGCTGTGACTAGCTTCACGAGGTTGTCCTTTGGATGGTGCTTGAAAGTTCCCCCGAGGTAGAAGTAGCACCCATCAAACAGCTTTGGCAACTGAAATAACCAGAAGGAAATTAAAAATCATTGAAAACAGATAAAAATTTTTCCCAGTACTACACATGAATGATGGCATGTATAGCGAACAGTTAAGAAATCATGACAAGAAAATTATTCGTGCAAATAAGCCTTTTCTAGTTCATTCCTTTCCCCTTTAAAGTCAATCAATACCTTGGGATCCTTTCCACTCTCCCCAGATTTCAGGCAAGTTTTGTACAAAGAAAATCAAATAGGCAAAGACTGTTCCTAGGCTTCTTTATGAGGATGTTTATTCTCAAGTGTTAGGGCACGAAGCCCGGAGAATTCCTAGAATCTCTCTGAAGTACATTTCAAGGGCACCTGTTGCTGTTAGGTGCTATCAAGTTGGTTCCTACCCATAGCGATCCTCTGCACAAAAGAAAGAAACCCTGCACGGCCCGGCACGGCCCCCGCCACTGGGTCCCTGTGCAGCCATGTGTCAATCCACCTTGGTGAGGGCCTTCCTCTTTTTCACGTGACTCCAGGGACTGGTCTCTGCTGAAATGCCCAAAGTGTGGAAGAGGAAATCTTGCTATCTTTGCTTCTTAAGGAGCACTCTGACATGACCAAACTGCTTTTAAGACAGACTGGTTTGTCCTTCAGCAGCCCATGGTATTTCCCATATTTTTCTCAAGCACTACAATTCAAAGGCATCAATTCTTCTTTGTTCTTCCTTATTCAATGTCCAACTTCCACATGCATATAAGGAAAATAACATGGACTTAGGTCAGGCACCCCTTGGTTCTCAAAGAAACCTCTTTTGCTTTTCAATACTCTAAAGAGGACTTTGTAGTAGATTTAACCAACACAGCACGTCTTTTGATCTCCTAACTGCTGCTTCCACGAGCATTGCTTGTGGGTCCAAGTAAGACAAAATTCTCGACAACTTCAACCTTTTTGCCATTTATCATGGTGTTATACATAGGGCCAGTTATGAGGACTGGGGTCTTCTTATCATTTGAGTGGTCATCCACATTGAAGGCTGCACTCCTTGATCATCAGGAGCATGTGCTTTAAGTTCTCTTGCCTTTCAGCAAGCACGGTTGTGCCACCTGGACACTGCAGAGCACCTAGCTAAATTAAATTACAAAGTAGAAGCTTTTCCATGGACCTGCAAACACCAACAACAACACACACGCAGACCCTTATGTACTATATTACCAACTAAAGCAGAGGTTCTCAACCTGTGCGTTGCAACCCCTGTAGTGGTGGACCGACCCTTTCACAGGGGTTGCCCGATTCAAAACAGTAGCAAAATGAGTTATGAAGTAGAAATGAAAATAATTTTATGGTTGCGGGGGTCACCACAACATGAGGAACTGTATTAAAGGGCCGCGGCATTAGGAAGGTTGAGAACCACTGAACTAAAGGTTTCCAAGCAGCCATGGGGTGAGGGTGGCCTCTACAGTGCAGAGATCTACTTGGTGGAGTACAAGAAACTATGAAGCCATGATTGAGAACCCAATCTGCATGTTCCCACATGCCTGAAAACAGCAAATTAGTTCTCCAAGCCCCTTCCACAAAATGTTTCCTTGTCATTCCTGATGTACTCATACATCAACTTGAGACTGGGATATCAGCTATTAAAACTGCAATTGGTGGCAATAAAGACATATGGCAACTAAATTCCAACAGCAGCTGGAAGCTTTCTTGTGAGCGACTTCCTGTATCTGAGCCTTACCTCAGCTTCTGAAAGGTTTATGGGAGCGCTCGAGATGCCAAAAACCCATTAACGGTATGAAATTATTACCTTCTGGATTTTACTGCTCATTGTGATCATCTTTCTGAATCAAGTGCTTGAAATAAGCACAATTAAAATTTTAATCAGTCACCTGTACTTGTTGAAAGGGCAGGAGCGGTCTTCCCTGATGGTGATAATAATATTAAGTCATCATAAGAACAAGGAAAGTAGTAGCAAAAGAGAAATACCAGCTGTTCTCTGTTGAGTCTGCTTCTCTGAGGACCTTCAGAGATTTCGTACTTCTCTTCCTGCTCACATGTCTTACTGTGTAGACATGCTTTCACCCCTGAGCACAAGAAGATGAGAGCAAAATAAATATCAAGTGAGCAATACCCTGCTACCATGGAAATTACACAACTCACCATAAGTGTTTTAAAACAGAATGCATTTTCTTCGTCATACTGTTTGGAAACAGAAACAAAATCATGCTAAGGCAAAAATAAAATAAAACACAACTGTAGAGTAGACCTGAGAAACTCCCTCTGCAGAGGATTAATTAGCACTGGCCATAAGCATTAAATTTAAACCCCTTTCAGGAAAACAAAAACACCTACATGAACACATTATTTCAAAGATAAGAACAGAGATGCACGTTTCCATTTATAGCCCTCATCAGAACGAAGACTGTGACAGTGCCCGGCCAGCCACGGACGCCGAGCCTGGGTACTCGCGCCGTCTGCACTACTCACCCTACCAGTCGTGGGTGTAATCTCCCGTTACACTTGAAATTATTCGACATTAAGGAAATTACTCCATAGCACCTAGCTCAGTGGGCCTCACTACAGGGGCTCAACAGGCCTCATTAAAATAAACAAGCAGCAGAGTCTGAGAGAGCGTTTTTTTTTTTTCCTGATAGCTTGGATAAGTGCTCGCAGATCCAAGTTATAAGAAAAAGCAATAGAGAAGCCCAGCACTGGCACTGGTGATAGTCACTCCATTAAGTGGCTCTTGGACTAGTAAGACCTACCTGGGCAGCCCATTCTTGCTGGTATCAACTGTTTGGCAATGTAAGTACTCAGGCACAGCCGGAAGTGGTCATAATGGGAGGGCAGTTGGCTAAATCTAGAGGTCCAGTCTTGCAACACTGCACATCGAAGGGCATTCAAGGCATGTGGATGAAACCTGGTGGCACAGAACTAGGAGCGTGGTGGTGCGCATCCACCTAGTGGCTCTGGGCAAAAGACCTGGAGAATTGTTTCGAAAACCCGCAGGACAGAAGGTGCCCAGGCAGTTCTGCTCTACCGCGTGGTAGGCTCGTGCTCCCGATTCAAAGCCGACTCAGCAGGACTCAGCAGCGATGACTAACCTCTATGAGCAGCGAGCTCTTCTTCTGATGATGCATGCGTAACAGATACAACTCGGGATCTGGAGTTGATTTAACTACTTTCATTGCTTAGTTTGTAAGCAATGTTGTAACCTTTGGAGCCTAATTTCCCTTGCCTAAGAGATCATCCCAGTACCTGCTGCACAGGGCCACTGTGGGGAAAACGTGAAGCTTTCTGGAAGCTGAAAGTGTAATAAATTATCTTCCCCATAAAAACAAACCTTTCCCACACTTTGCTACAGGTCTTTGAGATTCCTTGTGCAATAATCTAAGTTTTCTCACTGGAGGCAATATAGCACCACAGGAATCTCATATCCTTCACATTTGCATTCCTCCTCCACATCCACTCTGCTCCCCATGAAACAGGAGCATCCGGGACAACAGAGACTATTGGCAACCCAACGTCTCATCAAGCTTTTTTATGGGACTCAGTAAAAATGTAAATACTTAAGAATTAATTTTACTCACACAGTACGATAAGAGTTCAGGACATTTAGAAGTCTAAATACAGGCATGTATATATGTAAATACATTTATATATAATGATAGGGAAATAGATCTACATACATACATTTACTTGTTAAGTATTAAGGAAGCACATGGACATTGGGCCTCCACTCAAGTACTCCCTTATGCAAGAA